ATTAGGTAAGAATAAAAAGGGAAAGTTCTATGAAAAAATGAGAATGAAAAATGTACATATTGCAATATATATATATATATATATAACTTAAAAAAAATTTTAATGTAAATAAATATATACAAATTAAATGGGGGGGGGGGTTTTTTTGTTTAATAGGGGATGGTACCGGAGGGGTATCAATATGGGGGAATGAATTTGAGGATGAATTTCATCGAGATTTACGACACGATAGACCATATACCGTAAGCATGGCTAATGCTGGACCAAACACTAATGGATCACAATTTTTCATTACGGTTGTTCCAACAGTAAGTAAAAGCAAACATTTCACATGGACTAATCTCTAATGCGGAAACTCTCAAATATACTTACCAAATATTTTTTTTTAATTAGCCATGGCTTAATAATAAACACACAATTTTCGGTAGAGCAACTGCAGGTATGGATGTGATTCACACCATCGAAAACTCCAAGACCGATAAAATGGATAAGCCATATGATGATATTAAAGTAATCAATATTGAAATCCGTTGAAGAATAATATTAAATTTTTGGAAAGGATTTCCAAATATATATAATAAAAAAAGGTTATTAATAAAGTTATTCCAATAAAGATCAGCCGTCGTGTCAAACTGGAAATAAGTCACTTGTCTGAACCTATTTTTGATCTCATAAGGTTTTGGCCGTTTTTTATAGTTTTGATATGATTTTGCCTTTGCTCTATTTCAAAGATCTTTTTTTAATAATTGATTTTAATAAAGTTTTAATCATTTGCCAACACCAAAAATTTTAGCGTCCATTAATTCTTCAATACAATCCATAGAAGGAGCGTTGCAGATTAAGAATCTAATGTTCTCAGTTGATCGTAATGTTTGCCAATTCTTAGATATAAAATCATAAGCAACCGTTTTTAATATAATTTTTGAGGTGTAACTATTAGAATTCCAAGCCAACTCCAACACTTGATGACAATTCTCAAGGGTAACCAAATGAACCATACGATCAGCAACCAATTGAGTTAATTGTTCTAATCTCATCATATCAGCATTCGCATAAATATCCTTTAGAACATCAAAATCCAAACCATCTTGAAGTCTTAAAGTGTATAAATAAAATAAAATTGTTCGAAATGCTTCAAAAGGGATATGTTTTATAGGAATAACTTTCATATTCCCATCAGTCCAAGCATTTCCCAACCATTTTTCGAAATACTCGGAACGTTGAGATAATATTATACGATGAGCTTTTATGTTGTGCATGCCATTATCAAAGGTGAAGGTCACATCATAATAAGTCTCATTATCAAAGAACCTTTCAAAAGAGGCAGGGGATTTGATGATTGGTTCAGGATGAGCAAAATCATTTTGATAATAAGCGGTGTAAGGAGTGATCATATTATTTGTGACATTATTATTATAAATACGAATTCGAACGAGCACGTCAACATCTTCTAGATTTGGATCGACACTCGGAAATAAACTAGAAAATGTTCCTATCGAAGGTATTCCAAATAAAGTATTTGTATTTTGTAATTCATAATCAAATTTCAACATATTACTCTCATAGACTAATATAGGGTTCTCCTTCCATAAGTCCAATTGTATTGACATGGTTGACGAAGGTTCTTGATTTTGATTTTTAGATTTTAATAAACGATAAACCTGTATCTTAAATTGTACGGATCTTTTAGTAATGTAATGATGTTTTTCAAATAAAGTTTGTATGGCCTCAAGATAAATTGAAATGTGTGATGGTAATTTCTTCAAACTACCATTCGGATATAAACGAATTCTCCAGAGATAGGCCGTTTCATCAAAACAATTGAATTGAGATTGTTGTGAGGGAAATACCGAGGAAAAATCGGACCAACCCGGAGGGTATAACAGTGAAGGATCATGAGTTCCCCTTGGGGAATGAAAACGATCCGAATAGGCGAAATTTGACGGGGACATCTGTCGATGAAGTTCATTGAAGCCTCGTAATGTCCATGAGAAAGTGTATGCGGCTTGCTGTTGCTGTTGTGGAGGCATAGAAGTTGGTTGTATCTGTATATTACGCGCGGGCAGTAGTTTCTCGTTTGTGGTGGTGGTTGTAGTCGTCATTGTCGTTGACATGGTATATGTTTACGATGCGTTTTTTTTTTTAAAAAAAAAATAAAATAAAATGATAAAATTCTATTGAATTTTTTTTTTTTAAACTTTTATTTATTTATATTTATATTTATATATATATATATTTTTTTTCGGCGAAGTCGGCCAAAGTGAAAGGAAAAACCTATTACATTTATACAAATTTTTTTGTTTGGCATTTTTTAATGGTACTTAAATAGCTTAGATCACATTGCTAGTGTCAAAAGAACTGCAAGAAGTCACGTTGTAAACTGGACAAGTAGGGTATGTTATCCTTTTATTCATCTACTTGATTTAGCAAAATATTAATGCTGTACTATATCATTTTGGTTTCTACCCTAATAAATAAAAAATTTTTATAAAAAAAATATTTTGTTCCGAACCAATTTATATTTATGTTATTTATGTATGTATATGTATGTATGCGCGTATTTTGTCGTATTGTATATCTGATATAGTGTGTGACATCTTAAAAGGAATTAAAAATTTCTCGTATACAAATAATTTAAATAAGTTGATAACTTTATTTTTTTTGTACTATATAATCTATAAATATACTAAAGAAATGGATTTTCATTTTCTTTTTAGCGATGACCATTAAACCCTTTTTTGACAAGAAGACAATCGTTAACAAAAAAGATTTGTTGAAAATGGAAAATCATGAATTGGTGAAATTTGATGTGACGTCATGAAACCACTCAAAACAGTTACAAAAAAAGTGGGGGGTTCCTTTTTTTTTAAGTTGCATAAAAAAAAATACATTTTTTTTGGATGGGTATATATGGTTATATTAAATAATTTCTTTTGATGTATTTGATGTATGATTATCGTGAGGAGAATTTGTTCATCATCTACCAAATTACCAAATTACGTAACAAGCCTGCACTTTTGTGAATTATCAAGTATTTTATATTAAACTATAAAATAATACTACGTGCGGGGTCGGAGATCATTACAGAAATTCCGAAATTCCACGTGCAATTCCTCGGAATTCTGTGGAATAATGGAAATCGGTGCCTATACTTGTTGATATATACTTAATATATATATATACACCCAAAGAAATTTGTTCTATTTAATGCACGGGTTTATCTGGTTTTTCCCTTTGATAGATTGATTAGATTCAAAATGTTTACTTTATTTTGTTTCAAGTTGTCAATGGGAATCAAAAAAAAACTTTTTGTACATTGATTATGTTCCAGTTTGGGAATCCCTTTTTGTAAATTTTCCCCAAACAATTACGCAGTACCCGAAAAACAACAAAGTGAAGATCAACAATTAAAATTGAACGCATTTATGTTCATAATCAATGAAAATTATGTTCCTTTTAAAGTTTAAAATCCCTTGTCATTACGTTTCACATGACCTTATCCCCCAAACCCCTTGTGATTAACCCTGACGAATAATGTCATTGGAAAACAATAACTTTTTTGTTAAATTAACCATAAAAAAGTACCAGTACGCATGTTCTCATTTGAAAGACAATCGGAAATTCGTTTCTATATAAGGTGATATGAAATAATGCTAGAACGTTCCGATAGGATGGCGGCTCCGGAATAACAATTGGGTCCGGATAGGAAAAAGAAGAATAAATTATCCACAGGTTTGTTGTTGTCCATTTATTTAATGGACTCAAACCAAGAATCATCTATTGTATCATAATTTCTTATTTTGTTTATCTCGTTAGGGCATTTTCTTTTCTCTACCGATATTTTTGGCTAAATTATCAGCCGTGTAATGGTGGTGTTTCGCCAGTTTACCCTTTGAAGTAATATTGAATGATTTAATTGACGTATGTCGTGAAAGGTTCTAGAATGGATGATTGATTTCTATCAGCAGATTAAAAGGATGCATGCCCCCCTTTTTTTAGGTTAAGAAGATTTTACCTAATTTTTTTTGTGCATATAAACGAAGTGATTTATAATAACTTTTTTGTTTATGTCTATGTAAGAGGGCTAAAAAAATATTTTTATTTCATGAATGTTAGCATATTATTATCATCGTTATTTCCCTCTGACCAATCAATTTTTTTATTTTAAAAAGGTTCTAATTTTAATGGTGAATTGGTTAATTATGTAAGAGAATGTGAATATATCATGTCTCATTCATTGTAGATATAAAAAAAAAAAAAAATCTTCTAAATAACTATTCGGTATCATTTTTAAAAAGGATACTTCCGAAAGGGTTAAAAAAAGTTTGAAGATTTTCCCAGATATCCGTTTTATAAACCTCATTGATAAGTTTTCTTTTAGTATAGTAAATGAACAATGGTATTTTTCAATATTGTTTTTATTCAGTGCGTGGATTTAAACCTGTTTGAAATATTAAGTTTTTTTTTTTTTTTTTTTTTTTTCTCTTGTAAGTTTTCATTACGCTAATACGAATTTAAAGAAGATTTATTTAATCTTCATGTGAACCCCTTCAAGATAAAAAAGGACGGGTCTCTTTTACCCAGTCTACTAATGGGTCTTGACCATAAGAAATTTTTTTTTTTTTGTGATATCAAGGTAGCATGTACCGTATTATTATCAATGATCATTTAAAAGTAATTTTTTTCCCCCAACGATTTAGAACCTTTTATAATAGAATCAATGGAGATTAAAAAAATCAAAATTCCGAATAAGTTATATCATAAAATCTTTTTTTTTATTATTTAGATGTGAAAAAAAGGCGCCCATGAACTTTTTTTTTTTTTTTTCCCTTCGAGCGATAGATAAACAACCGGTTTCAACCGCTTGGTGTTTAAAAGTTGTGACAGGAAATTTGAAAAAAGTAATTTGGTTATTGTGTAATTTGATACGTGTTACAAGGATCGACCGCACCTTTTTTTTCTCACAGTCCAACCCTTTGCCATAAATCATCTCTACCGTGATGTCAAAATCAGACCGTCCGTTCGTAGGACTTTCTTCATTAACCCTGTCAGACTTCGAAAGTGATAAAGATTTCAAACCAAATCTTGACATTATTAAACAAAAGATATCTCAAATTTTAAATAAACCATGCGTAAAGGTTGAATTGATTGAACATAATTCCGGATATCGAATACCGTTCTTGATAGAATTGGAAGACGGAGGAGAATACATCTTATATGTGACTAACCCAACACTTTCAATCATTGATAAATATCCAAAAGGTTTATTAAATGATATGATTCGGAGTGAAATCGATACCATAAATTACCTTGATAAGTATACAAACATTCCCGTACCAAGGGTTTATCATTGGAATATTGAAAAGGAGAATGAATTAGGAGCTCCTTTCATGATCGTTAAAAAATTATTCGGAAAAAACCTCGATCAAGAATGGCTTACTTTGACATTTGAACAGAAATGTGAGTTCATAAATCAATACATTGACATTTTAAGTTCCCTTAATGACGTCAAACAAGATCGGATTGGGAGTTTGTATTTAAGTGAGGAAAACTATAAAATCGAAAAGTTGGTCATCGATAACTATGTTAATCTTGGAAGATCATCCCTTAAAGGCGAGGTCAATCGTGGTCCATTTCATTCAACAAAAGATTTGTTAAATGCCGCGATTGAGCTAGAAATAACTTGGTATAATAAATGTGATTGGGGAGATGAATGTAAAGAATTGTGGGTTCCGATACAAAAAAAAATGTTGGAAATCTTTAACACTTATTGGAAGGATGATCCTAATTATGATTTTAATTCCTTCGTATTATGTCCACCTTTATTAGAGGACCCGAGAAAAATTCTTATTGATAAAGTTGATGGGAAAGTTCGGATCACGGGATTCCTTGAATGGAAACATACGGGATTTCTACCCAAAGATTACCTCTTGAATAAATATCCTCACATCATCATAAATCGTCAAGAATATAATTATTCAGAAGAGAAAATGAGAGAAAATCTTTTGTTACAAGAACATTTTGATAATCAAATCATACAAAGGTACCCTCAATTTAAAAAGGATGAGATCAGAATTTTATTCTTTGATACCATAATCGAAAATTTTGATAGGATTTGGTGTACCATTGATGCTCTTAGAAGATTACACGATTACTTTAATATTGAAATGAAGGAAGAATGGTTGAATTCTGATGATTATTTCAAAAGATGGTTTAAAGAAAATTATTCGTTTACTGACAAAGAATGTAACAGATTGGTTGATGGTAGGGCATGGTATAATGGTGGTGTCAATAAAACCATTTACGAATCTGATTATACAACAAGCGATAGTGAAGATGATGACTTTACTGATGATGAAGAACATATCATTTGCAATATTGATGATTTTGATGATGACGAAGAAGAAGAAGAAGAAGAAGATGATGATGATGATGAAGAAGAAGAAGAAGAAGAAGAAGAAGATGGAGATGATGATGATGATGATGATGATGATGATGATGATGATGATGACGATTTTGACGACGAGGAAAAACGATGATGACATAAAAATTTAATTATTTTTTTTTTGGTTAAATATGTGACTAAACTTTTCGTTGTTGTCATTTAACAAAGTTAACAAAGGCAACTAAATTATATTTATACGATTCCCTAAGAGAATACAAACTTTTCGACCTACATCTGCAGAACGGCTTCAATAAACTTCGGTCTAATATTATTTGTGTTGAGAATTTTGCATGTTTTAATATTTACCCGACGAATCAATGTTTTCTCATACCAATCGTACCGACTTGACTAACCCAAAAAATCTGAAACATCCCACTCCAAAGGTGCATGTACTCTAAATGATGATGAGCGGCTTTGAACGTATTTATTTTTACAATAATGATGATTATTTGTAAGTTAAACTTTTCGTGATTTAAATTTTTATCATTACTCCGCAGGTTTCGTTGTTTACATTCATCAATAAACCAAGTTCCAATTAGCGACGTTTAAAACATTTCGAGATCATGATTTATTTTGGGGCAAAAATTTCGATTGATTCGACAGGTGCGAAATTAAAAATTTCGAACAAAACTGAATCACGAAAAATTTCTCCTGATTTACTAATTACAGCACATATAAGAAAGCCCCATTCGTTGTGCTTTTTCATCATGAACTTCGTTTTTTTTTTCCAACGTGAGGGAAAAAAAATAGCCGTTCCTTTAAAAAAAAATTGGATGATCAATCTTCATGAAACGGAATTTGTTTTGGGGGAAATTTCTCTCATTAATTATAATTTCGAATTTAATTTTTTTCTCATGAAATTGGAAAACTTTTGATTGAAAACTTTCTTAAAAAAGAAAAAAATCTCGATATGCAAATTCGCTAAAATAGGTCGATTCTTCCGCAACTTCTCTTGAAATGTAACGCAAATACACATCTATTTTAAATATGTCAATCTTGAACCAAAGAACCCAAATATTTTGAGATGTTTTGCAGATCACTCAAAAATATGAATATTTAGTGTGGCGTTTTTTACATTGTAAATAAGTTCACTTGATGATTTAAAAGGATTAGCGTTGATCCCATAAAGAATCGAATTTCCTTTTCATTACGTTTTATTTTTAGCCCAAAACAAAAATCGCCAAGGTTTTATTGTAATTTTGCCGAGAAAAATACGTATCTCTATAGTATGGTTCATTTTAGCCAGATAATCACGTGATACGGATGGTTTTAAATTTGATTGTATAAATAGTACCTCATTTGGGTAAAACCGACCATTTTTTGTTACGCCAATTTTTTTTTGTTTCAAAAAAGGAGACCTTTGTTTTGTAATCAGTAAAAAATTATCGACAGAAGTTGTTGTTTAGCTAAAAATTTTATCATTAAAAAAAGAAAATTTAAATTATAATGACCGATAGGAAAGATACCAATCCATTTAATACGGAGGAATCTACGCCTCACCTTCCAGCCAGCGTATATCAACCAAATCCATTTCCAATAAATCCAGCGGAAGGTAATCCTTGGGCAGGAACATCGAATGAACAACCTTATCAAAAACCTCCACAGCAAGGACATGTCAATGCTTATGATAATACATCATCTTCATATGGACACAGTTATAATAATACTTCGGATGGTGGATCACAATCCAATTATTCTACATACACCATGCAAATGCCAACCCCTTCTGTTAATTATAACATAAATAATCCATCTCCTTACGGTTATTCAAATTCTGCTTATAATCCGAACGCATATGCACCAGCTTATGACTCCAATGCTTATAGCACAAATGCATACAATCCTAACGTTAATGCCTACAGTAGTACAAATGACAATCAAGGTGTTGATGCTTATGAAAATGAAAGTCATGTTAAAAATGAACGAGAAAACTCGTATGATGACAATACTACCGAATTGGAGGGGTCTGTCACGGCTGCCAATCCTGGAATAGAAACTCATGATCCTGACAAATTGAATATTTCCAATGATATGATTAAAGCATCTTTGAATGGCACTCCTAATAAATGGAGACTTTTATCTAGGTTTATTCAATTTATTGCTAGCGTTGGCGCCCTGTCGTTTATCATTGGAGCTCCCGCCGTAAGTACCTTTTTTTTTTGACGGGAAAAGGGAACATGTATTATTTAGAATCAATTAATCAATTTTTTTCCCCTTTTAATTAACATAGGCTTCTCATGTATCAACGCCGGATGTAGCTAATAAAACAGCAATCATTTTCCTTCACATTGTTTCGATCGTTTCGATTATTTATTCATTTGGTCATTTGGTCTTTTATTGTATGCGTCGTTGGCGTCATAAAAATAAGGCACCAAGGTGGTCGTTATTGCTTGTCGATATAGTACTTGGTGTAAGTTTTGGCACTTTAATGGTCTTTCTAATTAAAGATTTTCAATGCCCTCCTGGCAAATTGAATGGATGGTATGTAACATCTAAAACGTGTGAATTTTTTTATTTTTTTTTAAAAAATTAATAATCATCATACATACATATATATTTTAGGTGTGATTTTTACAACACTGCTATATTTTTCACCGTTCTGGCTTTCGTTACATATGCTGTGTCGTTTATATGGGATCTTGTTGGAGGTTTTAAATCATTTAGATCTTAAAAAAAAAAAGGATTTTGCAGTTGATTGAAACTTTTTTGAAAAATCAAGTTAAAAAAAGACATTTTACTATTGGTAATACTTTGAAAATTAAATTGTATATTATTATTATTTTTTTTTTAAGGAAAAAAAATCTTTGTATATTATAAAACATTGTTATTTTCCGCGAAAATTCTCTTGATTCAATGAAATAGGGTTTATGTCCTCGAAGTAATTCAAATTGTGACAATACGAATAATTTGAGGTATTACATATTGTAAAAAAAAAGGGCAAAAAAAAAAAAAATACCAAGATTTTTGGTTTGGAGTTCTCGAACGGGCTTTTCCATGCTTTTTTTGGAGTTGAAGACTTTCCTCCGTAAATTTTTCGAAGCACCGAAATCAGTCACTCACAGCGTTTTAAAAAGAACACGTGAACAAATATATAAAATTTTCTTACATTTAAAATAAATCATTATTTATATTTTATTATGTAAAAATTATTCCTTGCATTGAAAAGATAAACATTATTATTGTTTTACATTTGAACAAAAAAGTAATTTAATTAAATTAAGGCGAAAGGATTTTTTTACCCAAGCAATAAAGAAGAAAGCAAACAAAACAAATGGAACGAATCGAATCAGACCGATAAAGAAATGAACCCAAAGAGGAAACCCCCAATAAAATCAATCTATCCAACTTGAGAGGGGATGAATTCTCAGAATTTTTTTTTTTTTTTTTTAAATAAGGATGGATGATTCTTAGATATTTTTTTTTTTTTTTTTCCTTAATTATTTAAGGTCATATTAAATTAATCTCTTAAAAATTTTGTTTCACGTTTCATAGACCAAGTGAAGGTGATTTTTATTCCCAAAATTATTTTAATTTATAATGAATTTCCGAAATTTTTTATTTGATAAATTTCGTGTAACAGAAGGAGATGCCGAATTTCTATCATTGTATCAACTCAACTAACTAACATTCGGGTGACACAAATATGGTTAAGTCACACCTACAATCACGAGCTTAAATTATAATCACACCTCGCCAGAGTCACAATGTGAAAAACTACGTGAACTTTTTTTTTAAATTAATGATTAAACGATGATGAAAGTTTTTGCAGCATGCTTGCACAATTTTTTTTTCCTTGTTAAATTTAGCCATAGCAATCTTCAATAAACTCGGAGGCCCCTGGGGGGTTGTATGCCTCCCTAATTGTCCCATCAATTGGGAGGTTTGCTGTTAAAATTCTTTGTTCAGATCATGTGTCTCAATAACCGATTTTAATAGCAAAACGACCCAATTTATTATACATCATTGGGTTACCCTCTTTATCGACCATTTTGTTTTTAAAATTTTGGGCCATATCATATTAAAATATCTCGTTCATGCAAAAATAAATTTTATATATGAGAAAGTACATTTTCTGTTTTTTTTTTTTAAAAAAAAAGGGAAACAAACGCGAGAAAATTTTTTTGAATTCACGGGTGCGTGTGTTTGTGGTTGGTAACTCATGAAGTGGTTAGTTGATGAAGTGTCAATCACGCATATGAGCATACGAGAAAATAATATTTATAAATTATGCAGGAAGAGGGTCAAAACAGGTAAATCGGATGAGTTGTAAAGCGATAATAAACCTGTCTCTTAAATTTGTGACAGGTTAACAGATGTAAAGCGCAATGTAATACATGTTTAAAATGGTATATAATCAGGGACCCGCCGCCATTTCAATCGAATCTAACTAAAAAATTGAATCCCTATGGTACGGATTACTTTTATTGATAACCATTTGTTATTGGGGAATTTTTATTTCTATTGCGATCTAATTTCAAAACATTGTATGTTGTTGCCCTGAATGCAAGCTGCTGATATAGATGCTGTTTATTGTTACAACAAAAATTCCGTTTACTCTTAAAAAATTTCCGTTTGTTTTCCGCTTGTTTAAAAAAGGGGGGATGATTATATTTTTATGCCTTGTCGGTCACGAGTTGCATCGCACATTGATGAGCGGATTTGTTCATCAAACGCCTTTTCTTCTTTTGTTCTTGCCGGTTGTTTTAAATTCTTTTTATTTGTGTTTTAACAGATTAGTTCGGGAGGATCTATGTATATTTTGGTTATATTTGATTTTTATTGTTATTGATGATAAACAACGATACAACGGGTCTTGGCCATTAATTGGAAAGAAAGAAAGAACGCATATGAGCAAATAGTAAATAAACAAACAAGAATTCCTACATGTGCTGTATTTTCTTCTGTTTCAGGTGATGGTTGCAACTTTTTGGCGTTTTGATATTGGTGAATCTTCTTTCTTTTCCCTTTTCTGATTGACAAGTTTATTAACATGAAACTGATTGAAATTGTTGTGATATCGGTATTCACCGTGTGAAACATCAATCACCGATGAATTTATCATTAATAATAATTTTATCAACAAATTTGAAAATTTTGGAAAGAACTGGGTTAAAAATGGATCAATAAAAGCGAAATCAATAAAGATATTTTCATGTTTTAATGTAACTCAACACGTATCACTGCGAATGATTTCAAAAACGTGTGCTTGAAATACACTTGTTTACAAAGCAGATATGTATTCTACCCTGTACGCACAAAATAAAAAAAAAAATTTATTAACCTATGGGTTTCAATTGGAAAAATGGCACTCTTTTATTTTATTATAAGTTTTTTTTTTTTTTTTTTTTTGAATTTCCAAATGTACGACAACATTTATGGTTAAGAATCACCAATGAGAGGCCATGATGTGAGATGGAATCAAAATGAGTCACTCAAGAATTCACAATACATTAAGAGTAGAACTTGTAAAGTTAAAAATTTTTTTTTTTTATTCAAGTAATTAATGTAGATTATCATGATGATTGGTATCAAAAAAATAATAAGCTTAAAATTTTTTAACAAATAATGATGTAGAAATTCGTACGCATTACGTCTATACACACACACACAAGTGTATAAAATAATTTTGTGATATATTAGTTTGCATTACATTAATCCAAAGATCTTCCGATTTTTTTTTTAAATGTAAATTAAGATATGCAGGGTTTGATAAATATTTGTCTGATGTTTACAAACTTTACCCGCCGATTACCAAAAAGGATTATCCTTTTTGGGTGAACTGTACGATGGGATAGGATAGAGATATCATGGGATTGATGTATGTGATTTGAAAGGTTACATCGCGCTGTTCGATTGAGTTTCTATCCATTTAGAGATATCCATGGGTTCAAAACCCGGAAAGTACCTACGAACCTCGGTGTTCCTACCGACGAAAGCTTTCAACCTGCCAACGGCGAGTAACCTTTGAAACTGCTGATCATAAGGAATGTCTTGCAAACCGTATCGGACGATCTTAAATTCCACCTTGGTAACATTTTTAATTTCCTCGTAGATTTGCAATTGGCTCGTTCGTTTGCCTATAACGATCTTTTTTCTAAACCATTCATATCTACCATCATTACAGATCAAGTTGCACAGCAATCTCATTAGATCTTGGTTAAAGGTTAAATTGAGCGGTTCGATCCCTTTACCATAAAACGTCATCATCTTTTCTTGAAGATGAAATCCCATCCGACTTGAAAGTATTTCATTTGAAAGATATCCCGTTTGCAATAAAGTGTAATTGAACTTTTTTGGTGTGTTATCCAATTCTTCATCCAATTCATGACCCTCTAACACGCTCATATCATAATTCAAAATTCTAGTAATTACATCGAAACCTATCAGATAAATGTGTTGACAGATTTTTTTTAGAAAAAAGATATATAAGAAGGATAACTTACGGAGATTGCAAGTCTACCCCAAATTCCCATGCAATAAATCGACGAATTTGAGCCTCAACGCAACATTGAATAATTATTTTCTGATGTTCATAATTACTTCCAATCATGCTGACAACTATGTCGATATCTTTTTTTTTTTAAAAAAAAAAAATTTCAAGAGAACAAAAAGTTTAAAACATGAAAAAATAGCAAAAAAAAGCACGCGCGTATCTGATTCGTTACCTTGTAGGAATGAGGTTAAATGGGAGACAAATTGAAATCGAGAGTGACGCCCTTCGTTCCTGTGACCATATCTGTAACCATAATTATGATTGATGGTACGTGGCCAAAGATACTTATCCTTAATGAACCCTTTGATAATGAAATCCTTTGATTGATATTTGACATTATCGTTGAGGTACGCTTGAAATTCAATTAATTCTTGTTCATTATACGCGATTATTAATACGGTTTTTTGTGAAAGTTTTCGATAGGTGGTAGTTGTGGTGGTGGTAAAAGTATCATGATCGGTCCAAATTTCGGATGGCATCTTTGATTGGATAAATTTCAAGCGTTGTAAAAAAAAATGTAAAAAATAAATAATAATAATAGGGCAAAAAGGTGAAGGGAAAGAAAGGATTAATAAGTTCAAATGCGTAAAAAAGAAAAAAGAAAAAAAAATTGTGGGGAAAAATTTGAAAGGAAAGTTAATTAATAGAATTTATTTTTCTTCTCTCTTTTTTATTTATAAAAAAACTCAATCATGTTCACAAGTTACAAATTACAGACGATCTCTTTTATAAAACAAATTATTATTTAAATTCAGACAATCGCAATTAAATAAATGACATCAATTGATTTTTAAATGATCAGTCAGTTCCTTTTGTTAGGCAAAGAAAATAATGACTAAACGTCCTTGATTGCATCATTTTACAACAACCCCTCCCTTATTTTTTTTTCGACTCCCAACATTTTTGAAATAAACAAATTCATGAATTAAAAGATTGTCATCTAGTCAGGTGGAACGCAACCAAATCGGCAAGCGATTTTTGAAGCACTCGATATTCAAATGATTCATTCACTCGATTCACCTATTATGGAAAATAAGAAACAAGGCGTTGCAATGATCTCATAACTTTTTAGTGCAAGTTACCCCCTTTTTTTGAGGGTTTCTGGAGTAAAAGACCCGGGTAATTATGTGTGTGTTTGTTTAAAGCGGTGCTTTTAATCAAAATGCCCCCCCCCCCCCAACCACCCATTATCCTTTGTTGATTAATCCTTATCAAGCCGACGCCGGTCATGAGATCGGATCTATGTAAGGTCTTGTCGCAAAAAAAGAAGAAATGGGTGTTCATGACTGATATTGATAACGTTGTTCCACCACATCAAATCCCAAAGTTTTGATTTTAAACCTTAGTCATTTAATTGTATTGTTAGGACAATAACAGGCATGATTTCCAATGTTCCCATAATAAACAACAACAAAAACAAAAACAACGACGATTACATCTCTGATGATCACGTGCGTATGATAATCATTCACCACGATAATTATTTACAATAACATTCGGACGCTTCCACCGATTGAGATTAGTAAAAACATATAAAGTTTAAAATAACGAATTCCGATCATTTGAAGCGGGTTGAAAAAAAATAGTGTCTACTTACCTAATCATGATCCGTTCTTAGATAATCCGGATAGGAAAATTCTTGACCTTACAACCCATTAAAAAATAAAATAAAATGAAAATATGAAACCTCGCTCATCAACGTCCCATCTTTATAGGTACTTTGCAATCTATCTTATCAAATCGATATGACCATATGGGAACGTTTCCAGTAAAATCAAGTCATGAGGCATAGTAAATCATATGATCCGTAATGTGATTTTACTGGAAACGCTCCCATATATATCCCTCGTTTAATAAAACCCTTTTGTTCCTAAGTGTTAGTCATACAATCAAATCATCTCATAAATATTATTCCTCATTTATCACAACTCCCGCACTGACTTTGGATTGAATTTTCAAAGATTACACAGCACAGTTCTCGATACTACTAGGTCGGATTTATCCGAATTTGTGATACAACCGAATCCACGTTTCATATGTTGCATAGAATTGGATGATCGCTCTATCAACAAAACCACATTTTGGAATTTGAAAGTCTTCAGCAAGACACGTTCAGAAGCAATAAATTTAATGTAAACGTATTGGTTTTCAGATTTGAGGCGCGTGCACGAATTTTTATAGAGTCGCACATGTTGACAACGAATAAGCAAGTGCGCTAAATGATGAGCAGATTCCAAAAAAAATGAAAATTATTAAAGGTTTTGGTAAATTAATTTGCAAACGAAATTAATTAAAAGGTTAATTTGTTTACATAATGAGCAATCATTTTAAGGAGTATCCAATCTCAATCTTTAACTTTAATGGAAATGCTTGAAGAAAAATTATTTTCCTCACATCAATAAAAAAAATATAGGAGCCTCCGATTAGCCAGATTTTTATTGTAATTTGTTTGTACATTATCTTGCTTCATGTGTCCAAATTATTATTGGATTTGTGGTTGGTCAGCCCGTAATTAAAAGGTGTTCCGGTCGATATGCAGATCGACATGGTCTGATCCCTTATTAAGCGCGACACGATTGACGATTTAAGACAATTTTTCGGAGTGATGAATGAAAAATTCCGTCTTTGTTAAATTCCTAAGCTTTCTTCATTTTCTTTTTTGTTTTTTTTTTTTTTTTTTAAAAAAATGTTCTCGAATAAAATGAAGTAATTTTTTTTAGAATTCTATACCGTTGCCGGGTCGAAAGATTTTTTTTTTTACATGAACGTATTTAATTAAGGATTTTAAATGATGATCATTTTCCTGATTACCTAAGCTCAGATTTTTTTTCAATTTTTTTTTGATCAAAAAAAAAAAAATTAGGGGGTTTTAAACCTTATTAATAATCCTTTACCATCAAATCGGAAATTTTTTGTTTTTTTTTGAAATAACCAAATATGGGAGATTAGTATTCATTATTAATATTTGCTAATTTATTATGTAAAGGATTCATTTTATAACTGGTATGTCGGGAAGGACCATCGACTTCTTATTTTTCAAAAATTCTTGCATAAGTTTCATATTTAAAAAATACAAGATAATCTTTTTTTTTTTTTTTGGAAGGTATGGTATGCATTTCGAACGTCAAAAAAAAAGGGCGGTATCACGACTAGTGAGTGTATCAAGAACCGAAAAATAAAAATAACTTGAATTTGTCCCTCCATTATTGTGATCTTCATTTAATGAATAAGATTTCACTTTCTCCCGTCTTAAATAACATTAAAAAGGCAAGATTTTGCTGTGCAATTGAACGTAAAATGGTAATAAAGCCGAATTCATTCAAGGAGAGAACATATACGTATTGATATTAAAAGAAAGATTCACAAATAAAAAATAAACACTACATCAATGAACGATCTATTCATGTCTAGATGTCTCGAAAATGAACAAATGAGCTAATACGCGGTTAAAGATGGATTTGATTAGGATCACCTCATTTCGGGCATATTACTAAATCTTACAATCGCAATGGACCTTCCTCCGTAAAGTTTGATAAAGATGAGATATATCATGAATTTAGTAAGTTCACTATTTTTTTTTTATATGTAACGTAATTAATATGTCATTATCCGCGTGAATTCCTGGATTCATCAACCATTATGTCATTGCGATTATAATCCAAGTCGAAAAGGAACCTCGGTTGAATTAAATTCTATATAAAGAATTATTTTGTCAACTTACATAATTCACAGAATGTGCGCGTGCACAAGATTTAAAATTGAGCATGCCTTTTAACATTATTTTATTCTTTATTTATTTTCTATGCGCTTAGAAATTTTTAATTCGATGCAATGATTTCATGCATGAAAACAATAGATATGCACACTTCCGCAAAAATTCATAATTTTGAATTTCAAATGTAAATATTTAAAATGAACCGGGGGAAAAGTCTCAAAATGATAATGGTGTTCATCAAAGTCATTAATGTTTCAAAATGTCATTCGAGAGCATTAAATTTCAAATAAAAAAGAAACGAAAGGGATGAAAGATCTTTCAAATAAAAACACGTGAGACATAACTTTGATAGAGTTTCTCCTCACGGCTAAAATACACACGCAACATTGAAAGGTTACTGCAGTGGAGATTTTCTTGGCATTGCTATTCACGTGGCATTGTACGTCTGTCAAAAAAAAATAAAATAAAAAAATTGATGCAAGCCCCAAATGACAAATATTTTTTGAAATTAGGTTAGCATCAAAATTTTAACTGATTTTGATCTTGTCAAAGTAATTTAATTTAATTTATTTTTTTTTTTTGCTAATCAACTTTTTGTAATGTTCGTCTCAAATTTAATTTTACCAACAGATCATTTACAAATCTTGCATCTAATAAAACGTGGCCTCGGGAATAAAACTTCAATAGGATTAGTTTTAAAAAAAAAAAATTAAATTGTGCATGAAAATGATCCGAACAATTTAGGAAATTCTTATTGGAATAAAATAATAAATTACATTTAATTTTTTATTTATTTTCCAATGAAAACCCTAGACCGATAAAATTTTTATCATTGCAAAATAATTCTAATCAATTATGTAAAAAAAAAAAAAAATTTTTAAAAGAATTAAAATTAAAAAGGTGAGGTGACAAAAAGAATTTTCTGTAGAAATTTAAAATCGGTCTAAATGATTGGGTGCTTCGGAAATTGAAAAATAAAATAAAATAAAATAAAATGTTACGATCATTTCATTGAACGTTACCTCACCTATCCATTACTGCGGCAAATTCAGAAGCAAAAGTAAAGATTGTGATATGTGATAAAATAAAGATTTTATAGTAACAGTAATAATTCTTTCTTTATTGGTATAGAAATATTATTAAAATGATATGCACCTATCTCGTCGATCATTTATTATATCGAATTGAATAATGGCGTGAACTGAAATATAATGCAATCTTTTTTAACGACAATGATTCTCGTGCCTTCATCAATCGTTATTATTTTTATTATATTATTATTTATTATTATTTCATGAACAACACGACCGATTCAACCATTAATAGGCTTGATCGGCTAAAATATTCAAACGAAAGGAAGGATACATAAAACCCATAAATAAATATATCGTCTTAAAAATGTAACAGTCACACATGCATATATTTTCTTTTGTAATCTTTATATTACCTTTAGACCGGGCCTTTTAGTTCCCTCCCCCCGAAATGTGTTACACCTCGTATATAAATATTAGATATCCAATCAATGAGATATTTCATGCTTGAGCATATTTTAGAATACCTTGTAAGAATTTTTTAAAAAATGCACATTTACAGTATTATTAATAAAGTTTCTTTGTCACCTTTTTTTTTTCAAGGAGTTATCTTACATCCCGAATCTATTTCTCAATTTATAGTTGAGTTGATGTTGATCGCGTTCTTTTTTTATTTTTTTGCTTCTTCAATGATTGTTTCAATCAGGAATGTTTTGATAAGTGATTAAGGTTTACCGTCACAGAGATAAACAAGTCTGTTCCTTTTTTTTTCTTTTAAGCAGAGAAAGGTTCTCAAAACATCCAACCTTATACGAATACTATTTTTAACATGTTTTAAAATAAGAAGATAGGTGGGCCACTTTTATTGTTCGCATCCCATTTTGGCACGTGTTGTGATTATACGTCACGGACCATCTTCCCCCAATAATCATTATAACAATCGGGTATCGAAATTTAAATTGTGACTAATACAAAAAACTTTATGCACGAGATTCAAAATATCACCGTCTTTTCTCACGCGATTCTTTACCTCACAATAGCGCTAACCAACAACCGATTTATTTGAATTAAACCAAACATGGTACGGAGAAAAGAATAATTATTATTGGACATTTTAAATTCTAATCATTTATGGACTATTTTTTTTTTTCCTTTGTCTTGGGCTGAAAAACTTGAAACTTGAAGGAACTTTATTTTATTTTTGTTTAATGTACATAATATATAATAAATACATTTTTCATTTTTTGAAGGGAAAAAATGGAATGTCTAGGCCTCTCGTGTCACTTCTGGAAAAAACGAGACCCAGCCTTTTTATTCGGCTATTATTGGTGATTTTTACTTTATCACTTTATCAGCATAATATAAATTAATAAGGATATATTATTCTTATTGATCTTTTTTTTTTAATACAGTAATACTTTAAATCAAATCTCATATGACCGTCACGTAACGATGTTATTATAATGCGGCCATTTAAAGTTTGCTTTCGTTTCTCAAAGAGGTAAGATGTTTTTTATTCGGACAACGTCGCATACATACACTAAATTGAGCTCTTTTCTTCTTTGTCAAGTCATACATAATTAAATAAGGGATCATTTCCAGGGTTGAAAATTTATTTTATATTTATTTATATATTTAAGAAGACATTATTAATCCTTGGCGTATAACATTAGCGTGTTTATACAAAATAACAAATTTGCCTAAATTTTATAAATAAAACCTGTTTAAAGGAAAAGTTATAATGCAAATGTGTCAGCACGAGAGAACAAAAATATATATAATTTTTTAATATATAAGTGATATCATTGAAATTTTGTGATCCGTGTGATATGCATTTGTCGTTACATGCTTAATTTATGATTGTATAAAAAAAAAATATATATTTATATATTATTTACAATATAAAACAATCGATTTTTTTTCTTGAAAAAAATATTATTTTATTATTTCTGTTCACACACCAAATTCTCTATATTTAAAAATTTTTTTCTATATAGACTGTATCAATATATTTTGTATATTTATTATTTTAAACGCAAATAAAAATATTCAATTTTTTTTTTTCTCAAAACAAAAAACAAAAACAAAAAAAAAAAAAAAAAAAAAAAAAGATTTAAATACGAATAATCCATCAAATAATTTCCGCAAATTTTTCTTTGGAAAAAAATTTTTTTTCATAATAAAATCTTTTTTTTTTTTTTTTTTTTTTTCTTCTTTTTGATCACTATTTATATTATAAAGTGATTGTTTTAATGATAAAATAATTCACATAATATAATCATGAACATAGAACGATTGATCAGGTAGATTTATGGCCGACTTTTTGTTTTTTTTTTATCTTTTAAAATTAATTCCCTTATTCACAATATTGCGATTTTACTTAGTAATCACAGCAATCCAGACCCAGTAATAAGACAGAGATATTCGCAATTACCACAAATGTTATCTTGTATCGACACGACATCACGCCATCATAAAGGACGCCTCACATCTTCTTTAATACACGCACGACAAACATCTCCAACACAACGTGGATACTCGCATCACCACCACCAACTTCGACATTCTTCTCATCATATGTTACAGTCTTCTGTGGTCCCCCCAATTTCTTTGCACCATCAACAAATAGCACCAGCGCCTCAATCAGCACAAATGTCCGTGGACTTGCAACAACAAAAACAGCAACAGCAACAACAACAGCAGCAACCTCAACCACATTCCCCCCAGCAACCGCATCCACAACAACCTCAATCGCATACACCTCCAAACCGTCGTATAGCCCACATCCTTTCGGAACAAAAACGCCGAGAGAATATCAATTCAGGATTTGAAGAATTGAAAAGTATAGTGCCTAGTTGCCGCGGGTGCGCCGATTCGAAAGCCGTCATATTACGAAAAGGTAAATAAATTAAAATAATAAATAAATAATACAAGATAATATAAATAATATAAATTAAATATGTATGTGAAGGAAGATTTTTCTGTGGGAATATGCGACATGTGGCATTCGGTCGTACGGATAAACGGTCATGTCCTAAATGAGGTCATTTGCGCGAAAAAAAAATTATGATTTATCCAATTGATTTAGTGTGCATATATGTATATCGAGATGTCCGTCACCTTTATTTTTCTTTTTTTTTTAAAAAAAAAAGTTTTAAGCAAGAAGTTCGCCTAATTAAATCTTTTTTTTTTTTTTTATGTAATTCTTTCTTTCCTCCCTTTCAAAACAAAAAAAAATCTTATAGCTGTCCATTATATCCAGACGCTTGAATCGGAAATTCAAAATTTTAAACAATCATGTGAGAATCCAACAACTCCAAACGCATCAACGACACCACCGCCCTTGGCATCTCCTGCAATGTCTACCAAATCAAATAATACGAATGGAAATTTATCATTACCACCCATGTCAGTAACATTGCCGGCATCATCTTCTCCAATACCAGTACAAATGCACGAAAATGCTAGCGACTCTTCCGTATTTGCTCTCCAAATGTCGGTCGAAAAAAATATGCAACAACATCATCATGCGGATCAATGGCGATCACCGCCTTGTCAATCGCATTATCAACAGCGAAACTATCAAAGAACTTTTGGTCATCCCATGCCTAGGTTTCATAGTCAATATCACAATGAAAATTTAAAATCTGATTGGAATTATGAAAATGTTGGAAATTACAGTAATCAAGATCATGACAAAGCATATCAATATCATCGACTAAATCAAAATCAAGAAATTAACGTATCACCGATTCTGAACCAGGATAATCTGTCACAACCTTATCGACAGCGTTAACACAATATTAAAAGGTTTAGGACAATCAAGAACAAAAAAAAATAAAAATAAACAAAGGCTTTAAATTGTACACGTTTTTCTTTTCTTTTCTTTTTTGAGCGCTTTATCGATGAAGATAAAGTAAAATTTCATAATAAAAGAAAAAGGAAAAGAAAAGAAAAAAAGGAAAAAGAAATAGGTCGTAAATTACCGCATCGAATCGGCTGAAATATTTCACTGTTCACGCATTGTTTGCTCGTGTCTTCCTTGCATCCTTAATGGTGTATAATAAAATGACATTAGGGTGGTTTCAAAGAAAAGGTGTGAATGCAAGATGGTTAACAGGTTTACATGCAAAATATCATTACGAAATGATTTGTAATCTTTTATTTGTTACAAATTGAGCCTTTGACGTATTAATGTGTACATGGGGACTGTGTTAGGACGTGGTTTTTTTTATTTATTTTTTTTAACTGTTTCGAATTTCTAATAAACCTTGCTTTGGTGATCTTCCTTTTCAAACATGTGATACGATTGAGAAAGAAGAAATGTAATATTAAACGAATCACTGTTTCATATATATATATATATCTAAATTAATCTTTACGTAATCTTTTTTTCATTTCTTGTTGATAAATAAATTTATATGCACGGTAAGGATCGTGAATAATTGGTCAAATGTAAGACAAATTTTTTTTTAAATCTTTTTTTTTCCAACAACACGAAAATTTACTTCAATACATGTGCCACAAGAAACTTTAAGTGTTTGTTCGTATTTTGAACATCTGAGCAGCTGAACAAAACTTTATTAATATAAAAAATAAAAAGACATGTGCTTCTGATCATATGGCAACATCGACTATTTATTTTTTTCATATAAATATTGTAAACAATAAATGAAAAAAAATTTCTAATAAATAATAAAAAAAGTGCATAGGACTAAGCCAAATCGAAACTAAAATACGCAGCAAAGATTATCTTCAACTTTTTATGTTGGATTATGAAGTTTCTTTTGATTTAACTCTAAACAAAAATTTTTTTCATCTCTTTTTAGTTGATTTTCTCACACATAATGAACTAATCACATGCGACTTAAGTAACAGGTCACGAACGCACGAGCCACCTCGCATCAGGCTAATCAAATCGGACTTAGGCTTATACGAGGGGCCCTGAAATCAATTATGAAATTTTTATATTGTACGTGTCATACTCGGTGTAACAGTTCCGAGTTGCAAACGATCAAAAAATTCTTCATTCTTATTCCCCGCTTCTTATGCATTTACTTTGCATATTTAATGTGTTTTATTACTACATTATACAGACTCCGATTCTCAATCTTTAACCTTCATATACAAAATAAGTTTATCGTACATGGCTACAAAAGTTATCGAGATAACATTTCAAATAATTATGTGTTTAGGAGCGCATTTTAAATAAGAGTTAATTGGGCGTATAAGGAACGCCTATAGAAAAAAGGGTTCAATACATAATACATACGACATGGCGCAGTAATATGGCTGTGACATTTATGCATGTTTCGGTTAATACCAATAAAAATCAAAGAATTGTCAGTTTAGGGAAAAAAAGAAGAGCTCAAGGATATAAATTAAGAAATACCAAATCAACAGGAAGCGTGTTATTCTATCTGTACAACTTACGAGATGCTGTCGATAGGAAAAGAAGGAGAAAGAAGTTTTAAATGATCTGAATGATTCAAGAATATGGAATCTTTTCCCCACAAACCAGTACAGTCAATAAAAGGCGATAATTTTCTTGGTTTCTAAACGATTGAACACACAAAACGTTCTTTTAACCGTCAACACTGAAATTATCAAATTATCATGTCATAAAAAAGAACAACAATCTTTTAATACAGTACAGCTTTAAAATGACATGATCAAATGCAAAATTCCCTATTTTAAATTTACAGTATATTAAATTAAATGAATGTGCTTTTTGCGGATTGAAAACTTGTACAATCTGATTTATAAAGATACAAATCTCAGTTGTTCACAAGTATTTTTTTTTTTGAAAAAAAAAATTGTTTTGTGATACAGCAAAATTTATTTATTTAAGACACTTAAACTGGTTATTATTATTATTATTATATTATTATTATTTACACAAACATAAAAAAGCACAACATAAGAAGACAAATCACCACACGAAAAATAACATTAACAACATATGGTTTTTGAAGTCAAACATGGGACACAATATTTGCCAGGCCTGGCTTTTGTGGCAATTTGACGAAGAAAAAAAAATGCATCAAGAAGAAATCTTATGCATTTTTGTTTATGTATTTATTTATATTTTATAATACTGGCATGAATTGTACACTGCTAATGTATGCCAAGGGTTCGTGTGACGTTCGAGAAGGGGCTTCCTTTTCTCCCTACGTAAACATATAATGTTAGGATGCCTATCATTAATACGAAACAAAAAAAAAATTGATTAGAATGATAACACCCTTGAGAATGTTCCTAGGTTCATAGTTCATATCAGGTATTAATCGTCTCAACAAATAATAAAAATAATAAAAATAATAATAATAAAAAAACGCGTAAATTAAAATTTTTAAAAAAGACGGACAAGTAAATAATTAGCCAAATTATATTAACATTTTTCCCGAATTTATTTCTTATCCGATAAACGATACAATCATATAATTCGTAAATCTCATAAAAGGAACCTTGGCTGTTCTCCATGAGTAGCGTGTTCATCGTTTGAAGATATTTCAATGTGATAAAGTTAATTTAACCGAACAATAACAGTCACAAGAATGAATCAACAAATATGGAAGTTTTGGGGCAAACCTTTTTTTTTTTTTTTTTTTTTTTTTAGAGTAACAGCTCCCTCTGTGAAAATGTGAAAAAAGATTTACAGAAAATGGTAAAAATTAATCTAGACTCCAATTAGTGTGTGATATAGATGCAGAATTCAAATCATCTCAATCCTACATTCATGCTTCCTCTCGCCCTCTCCTGATCTCATAACATTAAACTTTCTTTCGTTGGTGCAGCTTAAAGATGTACAGTATCGTCATGCTACAATGATGTGCCTAGATAATATATTCGGTAGATCTATAGAATAATATGCTTAGAATATCTAGAATAGGAAAAATTAAGAAAATTTAAAAGACCAGTAAAAAACTTTTATTTCATTCTTATAATGGACAAGTTTGAAGAATAGTTAGGTAAGTTTGTTTTAAGCAATTACGAAATGGCTTATTGACAGTGTCCTTTCTGGACAAGCATTCAGGCAGGCACATTTCAAAGCCGCGACAATCAATCCTTTTATGATTATATTAATTCAGATTCACGATTACAACATAAAGTTAGTAACCTTCTAGTTAAGCATTTTCATTTAAACTTTCATCAATACACTCGAGTCCGTTACTGCCAACTATGACTTGCTTTTTTTTATCAATCCACACATTGTCTAGAAAGTAATTTTGGCGTTTAATAAATCTTATTCTGAATATCTCGTCACAAAAAATTTTAAGATCTTTTGAAGCTATAATTTTATGCAAGTGCAACTTGAACGCATGAATCGAGACCGACTTCACATTCCTGTTACACCGCGGCGAATTACAATAAAATTACGCGCGGCAATAAATCTTTACGGTTATATTCCGTCATTTGGCGAGATTTGCCGATGCAGTGTTTAAGCTAAAAATCGAAAATTTCCTTTGATGTACATTCCAACTAAAGGGAAAGGGTAAACACGTTGCAAAGATGTGCGGGACATGTGAGCACCTACCTCTCCGTTGCCTTCTTTTTTTGATCACAAATATCAAATTAAAAGTTTAAAATTTAATAAAATTAATGATTTACATAATCCTATTTAGCACAACAGTTTGCATAATCATCTGACTTGTACTTTTGAACACCTACTCTATTAGTACAACTTTAAATGAAAGTGAGATTACATCATTTGTAATATTAATGATCATTATTATTTAGATTTTTTTTAAATTTTTTAAAGTTCGATGCTTTTAAAGAAACAACCGAGAATGTATAATTGCCAAAGTCGCACAAAAAAATGAATTCCGATTTGTATATATAACTCCAAATGGTATATTGTTTAGTGGTACAATGAAATCTTATCTTTTATTTGTTGGTTTGAACATTGGAAAAATAATGGTTATTTTTACATACAATACAATATATGGGATAAAATGGTGAAGATTGACAAATTATTGACGTTTGTAGATTTCTTGTATAATACTTGTTTTTATTTTCTTTTTTAATCTTAAAAAATTTTTTTCTCAGGGACGTCTTATTAATTTAAACACACGTAAAAAAAAAAATTTTTTTTTTTTTGGTCAATTAAACAAAGGCAATCATATCTTTTATTCCGTCTACAATGACGGTAATTTTTTTGAGCAACCATGTCACGACGAATCATTTTAACCCTCATTTACGACAAATAAAATAACGCGAAACAAAAAAAAAAAAAAAAAAAAAAAAAAAACCTGAAAATTTTTTCAAAGAAAAAAAAGATTCTCATTTCAAATTTCTTAAATAATATAAAAGTTTTTTATTTATATCAGTACCAATAATTTTTAATAAAAGTACAAAATTTTTTTCAATTGTTTAATGTTCCAAATTCTTTTTCAAATTCTAATTGTCAATGGAATCTTTCAGTATACCATTTATGGCATATGTTAAATTCCGCCCAAGGGTAACTGTGTCGCAAACCATAAAAGGTGATATTTTCGTATATATAATATAGAATACTGTATATATATATATATTTACTTTCGATAAGGAAAAATCCGGTTTCACGTGTTATCCTGAGACTTTTTTTATTATTATTTGTTTATTTTCTCCTATTCATGAAGAATAGATTTTTCTTTCTTTTCTGAAATAAGAAGGTTTAGAAATATGAATTTTTTGATAATCACAGGAAAATCTTGGAAAATGTATTAATTAATATTTTCATATGCATATATAAATTTAGACTCGATTACGCATAATATTTTATTACATTTTTAGAAAGATTAGATAGATTAGACTTCTTTATTTTTATTTTTTTATTTTTTTTTAATAAAAAAGCAGATTAAAATTGCGTTGAGATAACATAGATAACATCATGTGCATAATTAAATTATTGTTTACGTTTACAAAGGTCATTGATAACCTAAAGATAAAGTCAAATGTAATAATAATACCTGATGCAAAAAATAAATGATTCAAAAAATCCGACTTTTAAATTGACCAGATTTCATGATAATCTGGGACTTATCAAAAGAACTGACGAATTACTTGATTTTATTGTTTAATGATCATACACACGTGATCTATATCATTGTAACGAGAAGTTTGACGCTGATTGGCCGGGTCAAAACGCGAATTTGATTTTGTTTGACTATGAATTACCCAGACTAACCAAATTGAACAGGGCTAGTGAAAGATATATGTATATCTTTTATTCTTCGGAAAATGATCAAAGTGACGCGACTGATAAATCTTCAATAACCATTGTAGCTCAAAATTAGGACGACGATAAATATATCACGTGTAAAAAAACTTGATATATGATAATTATAATAATGTAAATTATATTTCAAAAGAAAAAGGTAAAATAAATTCGCAACAAATCGTTCACATTAAATACATTAAATCTTAAAAATCTCGTCCGTAATTAATCGTCAAGTTCAACAAAGCGAGGTTCCGTCGAAGCTGGTTGTGAGTGTGCAGTAGTAGTATTTGTGGATTTATTGTCTTTGTTTTCTTCATTTTCTTCTTTCTTTCTCCCGCGATCAAACATTCCCTTTAGTTCTTTACGCTGTTTCTCATCTTGCTCTCTGTCTTTCTTTTTAAGGTTATACCATTCACGTTTTATTGCCGCGTCTTTCCAAAAAGGTAGGACTCATTAAAATTACCGTGATAAATAAATAAAAGATAATAACCTTTCTTCAATTCTTACCTTCAGGATTCTTCTCTGTTAATTTTTCCAAATCTTCTCGAGCTCTAGTTGTATTTCCTTCGTTAATGTAAGCTTGAGCTCGACGAAATAAAGCCTTCGTATTTTCAGGATCGTTCTTTAGAGCCTAATCAATTACATCATATACATATACACATATATAAAGATAATTGTACGAAATTTTTTTTATAAATTGAAGTTTATTTGCTATACCATGTTTGCGTAATTAAGTGCTTTAGTCCAGTTTTCAAGTTTTATACAACATGCTGTTTCAAATAAAAAAGATATTTAAGCTAAAAGATAATCAAAAAGATAATCAGATGAATCCAGAGTGAATTCAGTAACACGAATTCACTAACCAGACATATTACTATATACTACGCTCGTGGTTTTCAAAATATCTTCTTGTAAAGGATCTTTTTTAGGTTCCTCCTCTTGTTCTTTTCGAAAGACGGCAAATGATTTGTTATTTTGAAGGCCACTCAAGTTAAGCAACGCCTAAAAACAGTCGTTTTAAGGAAGAATAAAGTTTATTAAATTAAAGCTTCCTTGAACATGTAATATATCAAAAACTTACCTGGTGATAATATCGCAAAGCTAAATATAAAAAATAAAAAAATCAAAGAATAAACTTGTCAGAAATAATATAAATAACAAACATAATAATTGAAGTAATATAAACCTTCTTTCACATCTCCCTTTTTGAAACATTCGTTGCCATTATCTTTCTCACGTTTGCCAGCGGCAAGTTTATCTTCATTATTTGACATTTTTCTTTATATATATAAGATATTAAAAGAAGGATGAGGAAAAAAAGCGATTTTTCATATATGTACACGTTACACGAAGTCAGATGGACGTAAATCACTTTGATGTTGTACGAACTTCCAGAAAAGATTTTTCAATTTCTTACACGATGACCATCTCTACAGAAATTTTTCCAAAGACCTCGTTAGAATCTATAAAATCTAATCCTTCCGCTTATGAAAATTTAGAAGCGATTCTGACTAATAAAAACGGACAGGTACCATTGCATAAGCGATTTCGAGCCATTTTTACTTTAAAAAATCTCGCTGACGAGAAAAGTGTAGATATACTTGCCAAAGGTAAATAAAATACCGAAATTTTTTTTTAACACTTTCAAATTGATACAACCTATTTTTTTTTTTAGGCTTTGATGATGATTCTGCATTATTAAAGCACGAGCTTGCATATGTTCTGGGTCAAATAAAGAATCCATATGCAAACCCGGTGCTTCGTACAGTCTTAGCTAATAAATCGCAAGATCCTATGGTTCGTCACGAGGTAAACTTTTTTTGATTCTCGTCCTAAATGAATTTAATTCATTTATATTATCATATATTAAAAGGCAGCTGAGGCTCTTGGGGCAATTGGAGATTCATCATCATTAGATATTCTTGAAGAGTATCTAAATGATGAATATGCAGTGGTCCGAGAAACTTGTGAATTGGCTATCGCAAGGATTAGATACGAAAATGATAAAGAAAAACTGGATATTCCTAAAAGGTTGAAGAAGTTATCTTTGATTCTATTTTTTTTTTATAAAAAAAATGATTGATGATAAACGTTAATAATAATTAATTCATGTTAATATTTAGTTTATATACTTCAATTGACCCAGCACCACCAAATATAAAAATTCAATCGGTATCAGAGTTGCGAGAAATTCTCTTGGACTCAAAATTACCATTATTTGAACGATATCGTTCAATGTTTGCATTAAGAAACTTGGGTAACACAGAGGCCGTGTTAGCTCTTGCCGAAGGTTTTAATGATACGTCCGCTTTATTTAGACATGAGATTGCTTTTGTTTTTGGACAATTGCGAAGTCCAGCAAGTGTTCCTGCCTTGATTAAAACACTGGAAAATATGAATGAATTATATATGGTTAGACATGAAGCAGCTGAAGCACTGGGATCTGTTGCAACGCCTGAATGTTTACCCGTGTTGAAAAGGTTCAAAGATGATCAAGAAAGGGTCGTCAAAGAAAGTTGTGAGGTAGCATTGGACATGTATGAATATGAGAATTCTCAGGGGTTCGATATGTTGACCGTTGTCTAAATATCACGCAAGTTTTTGTAATCATTATTTTAACTTTAACTTTTATACATTAAGGCATTAAAAAAAAAAAAAAATTGATTTTAAAATCTTGTCAATTTTCTTTTTAGGAAAAAACTTTACTTATCAAGTGAATATTTGTTTGGAGTTAATTAAATTAATTCCAACAAAAAAAAAAATTAATAAATTAATTACTTCTACCAATAAATAACTATTTAATCCTTAACCCATTCCACAAATAGCTAAATCACGCATTTGTTGTAAAACAGCTTCAACTTTGGTTTCAACTTGTCTCTCATTGTTAGGAGGAAAATCTTCTTGTAAACTATTCAAATTATCATAACTTTCTTGACAGAATTTCAATTGAATTTTAACAAAAGCCTCAAATGTGGGGTCTAGATAAGGAACTCTAAGATCAATTAAATTAGGTAATTCTTTGCAAAGCTGACTATTGAGTGATTCATACAATTCATTTGCTTCGTTGGCTGCTTGTTCAGCCTTATATGTAAAATTCAAAAATTTGTAATTAGCGAAATTTAAAATGGAAAAAAAAATAAAATAAATAGAAAGAGAAAATCATTATATTGTGACATTACTCTTGGTAATTTATTCGGATCATCCGATGGTTTATCCACCAATTTACGAACTTTCGCGCGTTGCCTATCGTAATCTAAAAGTTTATTATCTCGTCTTTTGATTGTCTCGTTAATACCCGGGAAATAAGTACAAAAGCGTAAAATAGGCTCGGTAACAGTTTGACGATAAGGTTCATCCTATGAATTAAATATATTTAATGATTTTTTTTTTAAAAAAAAAATAATCGAATTAATCCTTTCTGGAATATAAGTTTAACCCACCAAGAACGTTCGACAATTATGATCTAATTTAACTATAGCATCTTTATATTTATTTCCAACTAATGATTTATCAGTTGAATCTTCGTAAAAATGACCAATGGTCTCAGCAATTCTCAATTGCGCACCAGACATATCTATGCAATACCAAAATGTATCTAGATTAGTTCAAATTAAAAATAAAAATAAAAATTAATTGAACTATTTAGTACTTGCTTCTCATTGAATCCAAGTATCCTCTAGCTTCTTTATGAAGTTTTTCACATTTTAATTCAAGACTATTTAAACATAATTATGTATAAATAGTTGTTATAAATAAAGTATCGTTCAAATTTTTAGAATATTACGAACCTTTTAAATCTCTGTTCTTCTATATCGAAATTTTCATCGACCTTAACGTTATAAATAAAATAAAAATTTAATCTAGCAATAAACGCATACATATATATATATTGTTAAACTTACTGTCTTTTCGATGGTACCAATTTTTTGTGATATCTAAATAATAAAGAAACAAAAATTTAGTATTTGAAATGATTGAAAGAATAAAAGTAATATCAAGTACCTTTGTTCCAGTACGACCAACTGTTTTTTTGAAACTTGACCTATATTTCAAAAAAAAAAAAAAAAAAAAAAGTCAGTTTTCTAAAAGTCTCAGGGGGGGTGTTATTATCTTTATTGAAACTAACCAACTCATTTTTTAAAAAAAGTGGAAAATGATCTTGGGAAAGTTTGTAATCTAACAGAAATATATTAGCACTGCGGTTAGCTATATGACCAAAATGGAAAAAAAAAACGAAACCAAAAAAAAAAAAAAGATAAATATTTTAGCAGCGGGAGGTTTCGATCCTCCGACCTCGGGGTTATGAGCCCCGCGCGCTTCCTCTGCGCTACGCTGCTTGAACCATGTTTAGGTTGTGAAATAAATAATATATTTAATGTTTTTGATAATATAATTTTGCCATTCTTGTAAATCAGATTAAATAAAATATACGATTTTTGAATCTTTTCATTTATTTTAAACGATCGATCGAAAAAAATGAATATGAAAACCTATTATGACAGTTTCCAAAATTGTGTATTTTCTGAAGATGGAGACGGGGTTAAAGTACTTTTATCTATTGCTGCCCCTCACGCTAAAGATCTCACTCTAAAACTCTCTCAAATTAATGTAGGCGAACCGTTTTCTCTTTTTCAACATATTCAAAGATCATTTTTAATATTATTCTAATATTATAGCCCAAAAAACTGGAATTGGAAACTCATCGATTAATGGAAAGTCCATGGGATGAACTTGTTTTACAATATTTCAAAGTTCTTTTAGCTATTTATAAAAATAATTATTATGAAGCTTATAAAGAACATTATAATATGATTGTGTATCCTTAATTGGATTAATTCATGTTCATTATGTAATATATAAAAGAATTGTTCTTACTAAATGTTTTAAAAATAGAACTTTTTTTAGGCTAGCGTCAAATCTGACGCGTTGGATTCTACCTGTTTTATATATGATTTGTTGGGAAACTAGAGAACTCGCAGATAAGGTAATAACAGCATTTATTAATGATAATTTTTTGTCAATTACTAACATATATTTTTTCTTTTTTGCCAAGGCGGATGATTATTTAATAGATAATGACGAAGATCCAAAATGTTTAGAAGAGGCAGCTCGAAATATAAACAAAGGATTCTCGACCTGTATTACGGATAGGTTTTATTTGATTTTAATTTAAATTGTAATCTTCATTTGTTTTTAATCATCATTGACTTTTTTGAGCAATCTGATTAAATATACTTTAGGTCTCCTCTCAATACATCACGTAAATGGGGAGTTTATTATATGGCAGGATTTGCATTTAAAACTTATTTCAAGGTAAAAGAAAATACGATATATGTATGTATTTTAAATTTTTAAACGATTTATCATTATTCTGTTTAAAAAAGGTTAGACAAAGAAATTTATGTACAAATATTTTGAGATCAATAAAAGTCCAGGATTTACCAAGCCTTGGGCAATATCCAAAATCTCATCAAGTTACTTTTTTGTATTATCATGGTAGGCTCTTGTTTTTGGAAGCCGCTTATCAACAGGTAATATTTTATATTTATTATCACAATTACTAATAATTAATAATAATTACAAGAAATTTTAATAATTAGGCTGAAGAAAAATTTGTAGAAGCATTTAAGAAATGTCCCAGAAATGCAAATAGAAATAAAGAACTTATCCTTCGTTACCTCATTCCCGTTTTGTTAATTCGAGGTGTTTTACCATCACGAGAATTACTAGCAAGGTATCCAACAACGAATGAATTGTATGGCCCATTTATTGAAGCTATTAGAAGTGGCAACGTTAAAAAGTTTGAAGAAGCTTTGTTTCAAAAGGAAAAGATTTTAGTTGCATATGAAACATTTCTTACAGTCGAACTTGCTCGTGAAATTTCGATTCGTATTTTATTTAAGAAAGTGTTAGTATCTTTTATAGTTAAAATGACACTATTAATAATTTTCAAAAATTCAGAAGTAAAATTAATTGTTTTATTTATTCATTCATTTTAATAATAGTTATATTCTTAATGATCGCGAATCAAGGATTCCTCTTGATAAATTTCATAAGGCGTTGAAATTTGTTGGATTAAATGTGGAAATGACTGAAGTCATTTGGTTTATGGCTGAAATGATTAGAAAGGTGAAATTTAACACCAGACATATTTTACTATGTTTGACGCAAACATCATGCTCATGATTTTCTTTTCTATAGGGATTTATCAGGGGTTATCTCTCCTACCAAAAAATGTTTTTAGTATTGAGTGAAATCAACCCGTTTCCTCCTGTTGGTAATCCATGAAATAATTTAATTTTGATTAAATAAAATATTTATGAATGGCCTTTTCGCAGTTGGAATGTTAATTTGCCGTATTAAAGCAAAAAACTGGCAATAATAAACTTTTGTTGCCTACTACAATGTTCAACTAGGCTCGCTAAAACAAAATCGCTTGCGTAACAACGTTCGATAAAAAAATTTATCGCAGAATAACATTATAAGTTATGCATTACATAAATATAGCACATCGATACTTTTTTTTAATCGCAAAAACACCATATAATTCCATAATAAAATGAATCAGTATGTATAATTATCGTACGGCTAAAGTAGATCATGCTTGTATCTTGTTAGTTGGTTCGGCAGATCTATCAGTAATGATTTTTTCAAGTATACACAACCATCTTTTTTTTGCAATCAATTTCAATTCATCAATTTCTTTTGTTCTAAGGTGATTATCAAACAAATTCCGCGCGAAAAAATAATAGGATTTATTTAAATATGTATTTTAAGTATTAATTTTCACTATAAAACGAATACTTTCATCATTCAAGCAAATTGTAGTTTTAAAAAATTTTTCCGCAGCAGTATATTAATATAAAGAGTGATTGCTGTTGATAATTATCCTATATAAATGATGTTTGCTTTATTTTCTAGTGTTCAATTATTTTAGTATGTCTCTACTTAGAAATGAGCTAATGTCTACAAATTTCACGTAAACAATTGCAACAATTCATTAGTATATTATATTAAATAATGGAATTTTAAAAAGGCCATTATTAAATTAAGATAGAAAAGAAATTATTTTTAATGTTATACGATAAATGTTCATTCAATATTGTACGATCTATGCAAAATAAAGTCTATTATAAAAAAATAAACTCAGCATGATCCTATAGATCCGTGCGATAATGAATATTAGTAGCTTATATAGTTAATTATAGTACAATAATAAACCCAATTTTTTTATATATTAATTTCTAGATTTCAAAATAAATAATATACTAAAAACATTAATTACTACTAAGATTTATAATTAGTCTTAATACATTGCAATGGTTTACATAAATATTCTTTTATAGCAATTAACTCATTTGAAAAAAATTACTAATTTCAATGTTTTGTGTGCACATATTACAACAAATTATTATTAAAAATAGATAAATTATATACAAAAAAAGGTAAAATTTACATAATAAATTGTTATGATTTTCTTAGTAATAATTTATAAGTGCACATAAATTTTTACTTAGATTTTATACACTGATTTTAGACATAGGTTTCATACACAGTTATATCACAATTTACATATAAACAAAAATGCATTTTTATACTTTTTTTCTTGATATACATTTTGATCTAAATTAGAACCCACAGGTTTGTGTAATGTAAAATTAAAAATTATGTATTTTAAAATTACTAAAAATGCAAAATATGCAAAAAAAATTTTTTATATATGAAATTTCAATTTTATCAATTATTATAATATAAAAAGTTTAACATTTTAATAGAATTTTCTGAAAGCGATTTGCATCTATTATCCAAAATTCTTTTATAAGAGCTCAATTAAATCTAAGAGTTCTTATAAAAACTACTGTAATCAAATTAATTTTAGAAGTCCAATCTAAAAATTACTATATCATTGTGATAGGTGATTTTAATATTAACTTTTATAAAATACAACATTAACTCAATCCTACTAAATTAAACTAGGTAACAGGCACCATTGGAATGTCCAAAGCGTTAACCCACAATAGGTACAATCAGGTACATATGTTACTGCAAAACCAAATTTACTTTATGGATTTCGAAAATAAACACAATTTAAATCCAGATGGCATCAGTAGAATTTACTTTTATGGTAAGCAAAATTA